TGTTAAATAAATATCTATAAATAGGTTGGTTACAGATATTGGTGTAAATTAATAAGGTATAGATTTGGAAATAATTATATAGTTATATGAAAAACGTGTAAAAGAAAAAGGAGATAGAGTAAGAACAAAAAGTAGAAAAAAAGTTTTGCAAGATAGTAAATATTAAATTTAGTTGTAGTTCGACCAATATTGGGTCAAAAATCTTCGTTTAGAGTTTGTTTTAACCAGGTGACTATATACTACAACTTTAATTAAGGGTATAGAACAGGTTAAGGCAATAGAAACTGCAAGATTATTAAAAGTTATAAACTAAAGGCCAAAGGCTGTTAGTACAGTTTTCTTGATGAGTTTAAATTATTAAAACTTAATATTTGCAGAATATATATAAAATGATGAGCTGAACAAGTTTACTTAAGAGCCCAGAACAGGTTGTCTAGTTTTTATCTTATCTCAAAATTTTTAAAAAATAGTAACAGTAATTTTTGCTATTAAGAACATAAAAATATTTTTAAGAATATTTTATATCTAGTATGTTAATATTGCTAATATTAAAATATGTTATATAATTAGTGTTTTTTTTTTTTTTGTGATTGCAAAAAGTAGAGTTCTAATTTTTGATTTACTTACTAACCTTATCTATTTTTAAATATTTTTTATATTGCTTAGACATTTACTTAAATCAACTTTAGTTATTAAATAAATTGCAGATTATGTAATTTATTATAAAATAAAATTTTTGTAAGTTGCAGATAATATGTTTTGTGTAGTATTATTCTTCTAAGCATAAAGGTAATTACTCTAAAGTAAAACTGCTAATATATACCAGTATTGTCATGAAACAGCTTTGAACAAATTGTAAACAATTGTGAACAATTTTGAACAAAAAAACAAATCTAAATTACTCAAAATTTTATTAAGATAATCTATTTTAATTTTTAAATAAAAATATTCAGAACTATAAAAAATATATAATCATATCTTTTTTAAACTAATTTATTATATTTTAAAGTCTAAAATTTCTTTGGACAACTGTTGACAGTATGGATGTTTGGATGTGAACAAAGGCAAAAAAAGTCTTGGTCATAGTAGACGTGACAATACTGATATATACTATAACTGAACCAATTACCTATTATTAAAATTGATTATAAATCAATGCCTAATTTTTGAATATAAAAAGTTAAAAGAGTTTTTGTATTTTTTGCTATTAATTTTGAAGCAAACTTTGTTAAAATTTTTTTAATCTATTATGTAATTGTGTTTGTAAAAGCTGATGTATAATTGCAATTAAAATTAAAAAAAAGATTTTTTTTGTTGCTTTAAAGAACATAAATGCATTATATGATTATATAATATAATAATTGCTATTAGAAAAAAATTTTTAGTATTTTATTATAATTTTTAATATAAATAACCTTAGTACAGAGTTTGTTATTATTATGTACTATAGATATTTTATATTCTTTCAGTACTAGCATAACAGCTATAGTACCTTTATCAGGAAGTTTGAAAAGTAGTTGAAAAATATTAACTAATATTAATTGTTATTTAATACTACAAACTGTAAAACAACAAACTTTATACAGACTAATAGCATTTAAGAACAATTTTAAAATATATTAAACAATACATTTTATTAACTAATATTATTTAAAAATATATTACATTATGTTAAATAACTTATTTTATTAACTAATGTTATTTAATAATATGTATTATTATGTTAAGCAATGTATTATTTATTATAAAATATATTTTTTAATATATTAAGCAATACAAAGCAAAGCCTATAACTAATATTCATAATTGCTATCACTACTATAATTATTTTCATTATTATTACTATTAAATAATTCTTCATAGTTTTCTTGAATCACTGTTTCTGATATTGTAAGAGAACTTGTAAAACCTTTTTGTAAAACAGTATTCTAAAAAAAAAAAATACATATTTAAATTAAAGATGCAGGTGTAACTCTATAGCTCACTATTGTTATGACAAGTTACAAAGTTACATTTGCACCTTTAGCTCAAATAAATTAATAAAATTATTAATAAATAATATATATATATTCTTATTATTCTTAGTATTTAGCTTTTGAATTTACATATCAACAAAATTTGCATCAATCTTTAGTGAAAAGTATTTCTCATAGAAAATAGTTTCAAGAACTGCTTGTGTCCAAATAGCATTAGCTTGAGTATGTTCTTTATTAGATACAAAAATATACTTTATAATTAATGAAAGAAATGTGTTAGAATTTGGATTATCTGGATTACTAGAATTGTACAAGTCTTTATATATTTGCTTAGAATTCTTTTTTCATTTTCTTATTTGTTCTTTTGTGTACTTTTCATTAAATGGTTTTACTTAATTAATACCAAAAATGCTCTACAGTTCTTCTTTTACATGTCAAATATAATAATCTTTTTTTAGCTAAATTGTTGCAAGCATCTGTATATATTTAATAAATTAAATATAATTAATATTTAGATATTTATTAATTAACTAAGTGTCACAAGAGGAAATCTGCAATTTTAAAAAATAGATTATAATAATCTATTTTTAAAATTGAGGATTTCTCTTTGTAACACTTATATAAGTAAAATTGGACAAAGATACTACTTTAGAATAAAGTTTAACATTTCAAAATATATTAAATGAGACACTCTTGTTATTTAATTTTTGTAGTTGTTTTGCATATTCTTCATCACTTTCTAATATCTTCTTAAGCTGCTTCATTATTTATTTATCACTAATTTGTACATAGTTATGGAATAACTCATAGGTTAGTTTTCTGACTGTATTCTATAATATAACATATAATATATAAGTAATATGCATAGTGATATTTCTAGAAGACAAATTATTAGTATAAATAAAAATTTATACATACTTGAAAACAAATATCTACTAAATTTTTTGAAGGCTTTTTTCTTTTGCTTTTTTTATATTATCATCAATAATTTTGAATTTTTTTAAAACTTCTCTAAGCTGTATTTATTGTTTCTTAATTAAATATTTGAGCATAGCATGTTCTCTGGAAAAGTGGTCAAGTTTTGCAGAGTTATTTTACACAATATTTAGAACTTTGTTTATAATATATGAATCAATAGTAGCTTGAGCCATTAAATAAAAATATAAAGTAATATAGTTAAAAAATAAATAAATAAATAAACTAAAATAGAAAAAAGAAGATATTATTTTATAAACTTAAAATTTTGATAGCAATAGTTTTTGTAGAAGTAGTCAGTAATAAATATTTGATAATAACTTGAGGCTAAGTTATATATAATTTTATTAAATAATTTAATAAATAATAGAATACTAATAAATAATATAAATAAAATAACTTACTTTCTTTAAAACAATAACTAGAGGCTAGGTTATATAAAATTATATTAGATAATTTAATAAGTAATAAAATACTAATAATAAGAATAAAACTAACTTACTTTTTCTTTCTTTTTTTATTTTGTGACATGATGATTGTTGGTTCAGATGATAATAATATGAATGATGCTAATATAGAAAATGCTAATATGAAAGAAGCTATTGCTGAAGCTAAAGCTGATACAAACAATAATGATGGTGTTGGTTTGAATAAAGTTAATGTTCTGCATTCATTGGACTTTATATCTTTGCCATTTAATTGTTTAGGATATTTTAAAGTATTGAAATTCAAGAAGGTATCAGTATTGGTTTCTTGCTTTTTTTTTTATATATTGTATTTCTAATTTTAGGTGATAAAAGTTATAAAAAATAAAAGTCTTTATTTATATAAAATTTATCTTTATAAGCAATAAAAACTACATAATAATAGTGGGATATAGTAACCTAGTAAAGTGAATAGGTTGTCAATCTCCAAGTAACAGGTTTAGAGTTTAAATCTCAGTAATAATGAAAATTTGCAATTCTTTCTGTATTATGGTTAATTGTCTTTTGTAATTAATTGGGATAAGATATCTGTAACCCATATTATATTAGCATGACTGAAAGGTTTAGACATTCATACAATGTTGTACAAAGAAACACAAACTAGTACTAGGCAGTGTGAACCCAAAATAAGTCCTTAGGCTATGTAAATTACAGAAACCAGATATGAAAACAGAAGCCTATTTGAAAAACCTGAGTAAAAAATAACCTGAACTTTCAATAGTGCTATTGTAAAGACTAGACTTATGAAATAGAGCTAGAACTTGTAAAATCAGGCAAATGTGTCAGTTTTTGAGAAGGAACCAGATAAACCAACCAGGCTGCTAGAATTTTCAGATTTTAGAGAAAAAAGATACATGCTAGCAAAGATGTAAACCAGAGATGTATGGTTATGACCTACCTTTCTGGGCTATCTGAATAGCAGCTTGGTAAAACTTGAATTAAATACCAAAGTAGTAAGGATATGTTGTGAAGTTAGTACTAAGGTTGAAGTGAACTTTACAAGGATATAGTAGTTTAATAGTATGCCCTGACCGCTAGTGTTGGTCTTGATTATAGCGATACAAGGTCAGCTGTAAGAATAGAATACAGAAAATTCTGGAAGGTTTAGTATAAGATTAAAGGTTCTTTATATGAGTGAACTGCTTTAAAGACTTAGTGACTATGGTATATTTTCA